ACGAAGTGACCCCTCGTGGTTTCTCCCTTGGATAGGAAAGGCTTACCACCCCCACATACATGCCACTTACCGCAGTGTGTCACTCCCCACAGTCCCTGCCTCCACCGTGTTTCCATCCCCACCTACATGGTCTACCCACCCTTCAATGCTCTCTCTAATAAAAAGAATCAAAATAACGACAGGGGCTTGCAGGTGGGGTGGTGGTTAAGGGCTCTGGACTCCCACGTGGCCAAATGTGGTTCAAGTCCCAGACCTGGCAACTTGCTTTCACACTTTCTCTCTCTCTCACTCTGTCCCTCTCTGGTCAAATTTAAATAAATAAATAAATAAAAACTTTTTTGGGGGTGGGGAGAGAGGTTTTTGCTATAGGGCGCGTGCGCTTGCCAGAAAGACAGAGACAGAGAGATAGAAAGCGAGAAATCACCCCCCAGGGGGGATGGTCACACCGCAATCCCTTCTCCTCCTTTCTCCTCTCGGGATCTTGGGCACGCATGCACACGTGCCTGGCGTGAGTTTTAAGCCACCAGGTCGGGGACACGAACCGCAGTTGACTACGTGGGAGTCCAGCGACATAGCCATTACGCTAACTGCTGGTCCCAATATAAACTAATTTTAAAAAATAGCAACTACAGATTGTTGAATATGTCCTCCTAGCCAGGCATCTTATTTCCTCTCTAGAATCACACAATAAAGTAAATGTTGCCATCAGTCCCATTTTACAGATGAGGAAACTGAGGTTCAGAAAAGTGAATTAAATTCCCAAGCATTGTGCCAGCTAGTGGCATGGTGGTTACGGCAGCTGGATGCCACATGGGCGGTAGTGCAGGTTGAGTCCTGGATCCAAGGGCTTTAAAAAACATGCTGGGCACATGTGCATATGTGCCCCAAATCCTGAGAGGAGAATAAGGAAAAAGGATTATGGAGTGGTCATCTCTCCTAGAGGTTACTTACTTTCTCTCTCTCTCTCTCTCTCTCTCTCTCTCTCTCCCCCCCCCTCTTTCTCTCTCCCCTCTCTTTTTTTCTCTCTGTCTCTGGTGAGGGCATATGCCCTATAGCAAATTCTAAAAAAAAAAAAAGGAAAAAGCAAGGAACATTCCCAAGGGCCCCGCACTAGTCGGGAGTGGAAGGGGACTCAGCCCTGGGCCTGTGTGACCCTGGGTGCATCCTCCCGTGTAGGTGCACCCTGCCCCTGGACCTGGTACTCCTCTGCCCGATGTGTCTGCCCTGCAGTTTCGGAGTCTGGAAAGAAGGCCCCAGACTGGGATGTTTTTCTCCCTGAATCCTCAGTCCCTGGCACAGAGGAAATAACAGTGTTTGTTGGGAGAAAGACTAACCTTGTTCAAAATGTGCTCACAGCCCACCCTGTGTCCTGCTCAACGTCTCTCTCCTGACCTCCCAGGCCTGGCAGCCACCACTCAGAACAACCTGCAGGACCTCCCACATGTCCGTGTGTCCCGTCTCCGGGAGTAGGGCTCTGAGGAAGGAACTGGCTTGTGGCTATCTGTCCTGCAGCTCCCCTCCAGAGGAAGCCCCTCCCAGGCCTGCCTGGGCTCTGGACTTGTCCTTCGTCCCTAGAGGAGGTAATGCCTTTGTCCCTTCTCAGATAAACAAACAGAGCTGCTGGGACGTGTGTAATGCGAGGTGCAGGAGATAGGCCTGGCCTTCCTCCCAAGGTCATCAGCAGGAGCCTAGTAGAGGCAGGAGACCCAGTTAGATGGGAGGGCCAAGCTTTGCCCCTTTTGCAGGTGGATAAACTGATACACTGAGGCCATGCCAACAGGGAGCCATGACAACAGGGCCACCAGCTTCCCTTCCTCTTCACTCCATGATACACAGTAAGTGCTGAGCCTCAGGGCTGCTCCATGCCGGGGTGCCATTCACAGCGTGGTCTCTGTATGGGCGGCCCCTGGAGCTTTGCGACACAGCAGCTCTAGAGTACATGTGCGCCCACCCACAGCACGGCCTCTGAGTGATCTGGGCCCCTCCAGACCCTTCTCGGGTCCCCTTCCTCTCCCCGCCTCTGACTGTCAGATCAGAGCCACAGGAAGCAGGGCCAGCAAGTGTGCAAACCGAGAGCCAAGATGGGGAAGTTTATTTTCCAAGAATCATCTAAACACATGGGGAGTATTTTTAGCCCCTGCCTCCCACCCGGATGCCAAACCTAAACGGGGGGCCAGAGACATGGCCCATTAGGGACAGAGACCAAGCAGCATAGATAGAGGGGGCCAGGGCACTGGAGACCCCACCCTGTCTCCCTTGGATGCCGAATAAGAGACAAGAGAAAGCTGGCTGTAAGACCCCAGGGCATACAGAGAGGGCGCCCCCAGTTCTGACAGGCCCCCTGACACCTCTCTGCACCTCAGCTTCTTCGTCTACACAGTGGGAGATGGAATCCCACCCTTGAAGGTTGCAGTGAGGCCCAGGCCTGCCCTAGCAGGTTTTCTATGGGCGTCGTGTTCTCTGCCAGGACCTACCAGGAAAGGGCCAGTGGCTTTTCTCAGACCTGGCCAGATGCAGGAGAGTATGTGCCCATGTGCGCACACCCGAGGGGCATCAGGAGTGAAGGACACTGTGGTAGCCCCTGTCCCTTTGAGAGCACTGGGCCCGGAACTGGCCCAGGCTGGGCACGGAGAGCCTTCCCCAAGGTGGGGGTCTGCTGCAGTCAGCAGGCAGCATGGAAGGAGAGCGCTGCTCCAAAGGGAGGCCCTTCCAGAACACACACACACGCTTGGAGAAATGCTGGTCGGCCTCGACCTTGAGGGTGCGGGCCTGTTCCAGGGGTGGGCTTCCCACTCCCAGGGTGGTGGCCGGGAGTGACTTTGCTAGGAGTCCTGTGCTGGAAGCACCTGTTCTGTCTTCCAGGCCAGGAGGGCTGGCAGGACATGGAAGTGGCCCGCGGCCTGGGCCCTGGACATGCTGTGCCCGTTCTGGCTCCCTCTGGCCAGCTTTATTGCAACGGGCTCAGGCAGCAGGGGAGGGCTGGGAAAGGCCAGGGCTCCCCTAGTCTCTTGCAAAGACCTGGAATTTCCTGGTTCTGCTGCCGCTTTCTTCACTGAATGTTGCCTTGAGGGCATAGATGAGGGCGGGGGCAAGGGGTGCAATTCTGACCTCAGAGCCCTGAGCCTCTCAAGGGGCACCTTAGCTTCCAGCAGGCTGTGTGGGAACCGAAGGAGAACAAGTTCAGCGTCCAACACCCCCTGCTGACTCAGGCTGCCTGCGGTTGCCAAGGCAATAGCAGTGCCACCCCCCACACACAGCTATGTAGTCACCGGTGAAGGGAGAGGACATTCGTTCTGGGTCAGAACAGTGACAAGGGAAGGGAGAGTGGAAAGGGAAGAGAGCAGTCCTTTTTCTTCTTCCTGTCACCTCTTCTGGAGCTCATCAGGGGCTCGGGAGAAGGCTCACCAGGGTAGGAGAAGGCTTAGAGGTCTCCCCCTCCAACCAGCTCTCCTCATTAAGTGAGCAGCCAGAGAGGTTTCTAAGACTGGGTGGTGCATCCTTCACCCTCCTGTGGGGAGTCTCAGCACCTCTCTGCAGAGCCTGTTAGAAGGATTAGCCTCCCACTGAGCCAGAGCAGCCTGACCCTGGCCCCTCGGGTCACTGTATGACTCAGCAAGGCCAGTTCCCCACACGCCTCCACCTCCACTCATGGACCCACTCCTAAACCCAGTCCTGGGGATGGTGAGGCTCTCCCTGGTGTCGGGGGCTGCCTGTGGGTCCCCTTTCCTTCTCCCCTGATAATCTGGACCTCCCATCTGTCTCGTCCTCCAGGAGCCCCGAGTGGGACCAAAACCTCTAGAGACACAATCACTGAGGTCAGGGGAACCTTCACAAGTCCTAAGGGCGTAGGCCCAAATCTCTCGCGTTCACCATGACACCTCTTCTGCTCCCATCCCACCCCTGCAGTAGCCTCCCCTCCACAGCTCTACACCACACGCAGCCAGATCAAACCCCCCGGGAACTGGAAACCAACGTCATCCCTGGGTCCTCCAAGTCCCAGCACCATCTGTGTCCACCCCACACACACATACCCACACACGGTCCTCCCTCACACACTCCATTCTGCCGCTCCCTGCTGTCCTCCGACAGGCGCTCTCTCCTCCACACCTGGACGCTTGCCGCCTCCAGATGGCCTCCTTCCTTGCCTCCTTCCAGTTCTCCGGATGTACCCTCCCCAGCTGCCTCCCTGCCACCCACATAAACTGCAGCCACCCCTCCCTGATCCAGCCTGTTTTATTTATAGTCTGTCCACTAGACCGAGGACTCCAGGAGCCGGCGTTTCTGCCCATTTCATGGCCCACATCCCCAGTGCCATCTAGAACACACATGTTCAGGAAATGTTTGGCAAAGTCCCTGTTGCGCACGTTGCTTGGGCAGTACCCACACACAACCCTCTCCACAGAGGGGCAATGCACTAGGCAGGGGTCTTAGCTGTTCTGGCTGTAGCCCCAGTATGTGGCCTCCCTTCCTGGGCCTCAGTTCCCCCCACTAGATATGGAAGAGGTTGGACTGGAACCCCTCTGTGCTGGGGCCCCCAGGTGCCCGCGGCATCTCTGGCCACGAGAGAGGAGAGTGGGGCATAGACAGAGAATGAATGGACAAGGCAGGAATAGGGACACCCGTGCTACCTACTTGAGAGAAACCTTCAGGCCTTAAGGCTCCTGTCCTGGAACAGGGTTGGGGAGATGAACAGAGCAGGGACAGCTGTGGGATCTAAAAACAGCAAGTGATATGGTGGTTAAAGCCCTGGACTCCCATATGGTTGACCGTGGCTCAAGTCCCAGACCAGACTCAGGGGCTTGAAAATCAGACCAGGTACATGTGCATGTGTGCCCGAAATCCCAGGAGGAGAATGAGGAAGGGATTGCAGCATGGCCACCCCCCTGTGGTATGATTTCTCACTTCCCCCTCTCTCTGTCTGTCTCTCTGGTGAACCCATGTGCCCTATGGCAAAAACCTTAAAACAGAACAAAAACAACAGAAAACCAGACTTGAGAAAGGTGTGTCCAAAAATATATCAATATTTTAATCATCTCCAAAGTCCAGCCCGAGAAGCCTAAGAAATGAAGCCCACGCCCTCCAAGGGCTGAGGTCAGAGTCATGTGTCAAGGAAGCCATCATCAGAGACCAGCCATCAGGCAGATTAACGTGGGGACCAGCAAGGCAGGCAGGGACCAGGGCAGCAGCTGTCCCGAGGCCTGGGACGTGAACACTGTGCGCTGCCCAATGCGCTGCACGGGCCTGACGTTGTCCGTCATGTTCAGGCTCCGCTCCGAGTCGTAGTACAGGTTTCTGGAGAATGCCAAGATCTGTGGAAGGGCCGGGGCTCAGCAGGCGGGAGCTGGTGGAGCCCCCACCTCACCTCTCTGAGCCCGCATTAGGAAAGAGGGACTCAGAATCCCTACCTGTCAAGGCTGTTACAATGAGGAAAGGAATGATGGGGAGGGCTTGGCCTCCGTAGCGGGCAGGAGTTCCCTTGACACCCAGTGTCGAGCATCTACACTATGCCCACAATTACCACCATCATCTCACTGTGGACAGAGCTTCTCAAACTCCAGCATGGACTAACACCAGCCAGGCCCCACCCTCAGTGTTTTCCATTCAGTAGATCTAGAGTGAAGCCTGGGAGTTAGTGTTTCTTTCTTTCTTTTTCTTTTCTTTTCTTTTTTTTTTTTTTTTTTTTTTTTTTTAGC